AAGGTGGTCAACCGCCTTTGCCTCAAAGGGATTGTACACATGTTGATTATATGTGGTGGGAGCCGGGATCCCGCTAAGTTGTTATTTTCAGCTGTCTCTTGGCAGATTCAAAGTCACTAGAGCAAGTTGGCCAATAGGCTTCTACTGTGATGCTTTTGGCACAGGTATACTCACAGAGCCTGCCGCACATCGCAGATAGTCCATGGCAGCAGGGAAGATATTGCCCAGGTAGAGAGAGAAGCCTGCCGTTATCAAGAGGCTGCCCTGAAAGACATAAAAATACAGTCAACCAATCAGATCATTCATCATTTATGCTCTATCAAGGCTGGTTATTCAAAAAAAGATTTAAAACAAACAATGATAGATTAGCAGATTAACTCTCAGCAATGCACTCGACTTGACCTTGTCCAGGCCTTGTAGTTAAATCGCCTCACCCCTATGAGGACGCTGTAGAGCCGGGCCCCGTAGGTAACCCCCCTCACCCCGATGAGGACGCAGTAGAGCAGGGCCACGTAGGTAGCCCCCCTCACCCCAATGAGGACGTTGTAGAGCTGGGATCTATAGGTTACCCCCCCTTACCCCGATGAGGACGCTGTACAGCCAGGCCCTGTAGCTAAGGCAGGGGTGCAGGGGCTGGGCTTGTGGAAGCTGCAGATCGCTGGCATGAACATCCACTGTGTAGCTGTCCCTGTCGGGCCGTTCCCTCTCCGCACGCCGTCCTGCCAGTCCACTGGGCCGCTCCTGTGGACCTGCACGCTCGTAGCTGAACTCCTCCCGGGCCAGCAGCTCCTCCCGCGGAGCCGTGGGGGGGCTCCTGGTGCTCTGGTCCACTCTCAACTACCGGGAAGAGGGACAGGGTCAGGAAATGGGGAGATGGGAGGGCTGCTTGTGATTCCCTCTGCCCAAGTCACCCAAGAACCAGCCCACTTCCGCCACACTGCCTGCTGGCTTGTTGTGAATCAGGGAGGGGTGACAAGGTTTCGATGGCACTGAGGACATTACATTGCTTTCCGGATCGTGATTATTTACAAACTTCGTAGCTATGGAAGCTTGATTATGTAGCACTCCTGGAAAGGCATGATAAGCAAATAATATAGGATGATTAATGAGCAAATGAGAACTTCCAGAAAACACATTCTTAGCCAGCTTGTGGCATGCTGCATTTAGAAGAAACTTCACTGCAGAAATGAAAGAATTCACCGTGTTCTTCTGAAGCAGGTAAACAAAGAAACAAACAGCACTATACGACTTGTGGAGGTGGCAGCCAATGATGATCTTTGGCCCTGTGAACAAACATAATCTCACAGTCAACTTACAGATATATCAGGAAGCTTTTGGAGTAGTAAGATGTCTGAAGGCATTTTAAGTGTAAAACACTAGTAATGAAACAAACAATATAGAGTCTGTACTTATTTTTTGGACTAAATGTAAAAGACCAGGCTATTATCTTAACTATCAGATGAGGAAACGTGTTTATGGGATTTTAATTTGTCTGACTATTCAAGTTTACTGTTAAAAGCTAAATGCTCAATTTCACTCATGCTTAAACGAACAACTGAAAAGCAAACAAGTATGATACTAATAAAGAGTTTATTTCAGACACATTTCTACCAGTAGGCTAGTTAACTGACACATCAATGATTTTCATGCTCCCAAACCAGACCAGGAGAACCTGTGCAATTCTGGCCTTGTCACAACAGCCTTTTACAAACGAGTGATGAAGTTCTACAAACTATGTATAGTTTCCTTATTCTGTTTAACAGAAATCACAGAAAAAAAATGTTTACATATCACACAAGCCTGCAGAAATTGGCTAGAGGATAAAACTAAAATAACAGACATTAAACATTAAGCAAAGCCCAGTTTTCACACCATAGCTTGCCTGCTAGTATGGTCACCCAATCATTCCCAGCTGATTACTGATAAACAAAATACAGTCCGAGGTAGGCATGGCAACCATGTGAAAAGCAAGCATATTTGAGGCAATAAAGAACGTTAATTTAGAGATCTTTCAGGATGGGAGGTGTGAAAGCTGCCGCTAAAGGTAACTTTCAAAACACCCCACCCCTACCCAAAATGTTTTATTGCTCGATCCTGATGGTATTTCCCCATCACCTTGCCATACCTCTCACCCCCCCGCCTCCCTGCCGCACTGTGGCGGCCTTGACCAGCTCTCACCTGTGTTTCCATGGGCAGCACCCTGTCCACTACAAGTTTTCTCTGATAGCAAGGGTTCGAGATTACGAAGAGGCAGCTTGTTTTTCTTTCCAGAAATTCTTCCCCTCTCTCTCTCTTTCTCCCACTTTTTTTGTTTTGGGGTGGGGGGGTGGAGCTGATCTTTTCAAAGAGGGTAGAAAAAAATCTTCAAGAGCAGCGCCAGGCCGCCATGGCTCCTGAATGACAATGAAGCCCTTGGAAACGAGGCTTACGCTGGGGACTGGAACTGACAAAAAGGCCCCCACCCCTCCCCGAAAGCCTTTCGCTTCACAGCTCCAGAACTGACCAAAATTACTGTCTCTTTGGGAAAAAAAACCCACACCGCACCCCTAAAATGCCCACAACAAGAGTGGATGGTAAAAAACGGTAGAGCGGGCTTTGAGGAATGGGACCGTTTTGTCTGGCCTGTCGTAGGGCTCAGGCCTGTAAAACTCTCTGTGTAAATAGTACAACCGGGGCAACTGCTACAACTTTTCCCTCCCTGTTTTCAGTTGTTTTTTCTCATGTAGTGGGACTAATGAATACTAATTGCCAGAAATTTATCTTGCCATTTCTGTATTGTTTTTAAAGTATTTTTACTTTTTAAATGAAACAGAGATAAACAAAATAGCTAAATGCCCCAAAATCTCTTGCAGCGCATAACAGGAACTGATAGGACTAGATTTAGTGCCTCCATTTTGTAAGATTTATGATGCCACCTATAGGGAGGACCCTCAGAAGTGGCTGTAGGCAGTGTTAGTATGAAAAAATTAAGCCTATGTTGGAGTACAATGTTCAGCCCCATTCAAAAATCATTTCGGGGCAGCCGTATCCTTGGATACTTCTTCAAACACAATTCCATTTGCCTAGTTGTACAGCACAAACATACACTCAATTTACAGAATATTGGCACACAGCTCCGATACTAAATAACTGCGCCATCAAAACCCTCGGGAAGAATGCAAAGCAGCATTTCTAACATAAATTTAACAACTAAATTAGTAAATAAGTTCACCAAGGATACAAAGCAATATGGAGTTTCCCTTTAAGACTGATTTATGACAAGTAGTCCACAACCACATGCTTCTGCTTGTAGGAATGCGCAACTAGCAGACAGCACGTTTGAATAAACCTAAAATAACAGATGGCGACATTAGCTTTTATGGCAATGATACACTAACAGAGAGAGTTGACCTGGTACACTTGATGAAGATACATCTCAATGATGTAAACACGGCTGAGAGATGGTCCTGCCAATCCCCATTGACGCTGGCGACACAGTGCCTTGGCCTCTTAAGGCTCTTCAGCACAAACAGCCCTGAGAACAATGACAGGCCTGTTTCCACTGCATGGTTGTATAACGTCTCCCCTCATCTTCTTCCTGGCTCTGGCCTTCTCTCTCTCTCCCTCTCTGTGATTCTCTTTACTCGGCTCTTTGTCTATTGACTTAACTTCCTAAAAAAAATCAGCTTTCTAACGAAAACCCAGAAATCCCAGAGTGTGAACATTTTTTTTGGAAATATGCTCTTATTATTGACAATGTTCTTTTCAAAATTTAACCAAGATAGGCTCTATAATGGACTGGCATCACATCCAGGGTGCCCCCTGCCTTGTGTTTGCTGGCATAGACCCCAGCTGCCCACAATCCTGCACTGGATTAGCAGTTGGAAGATGAATGGATTTACTAAGACACTGCAAAACATATACTCAGGGGCGTAGCTAGAAATTCTGGACTGCCTGACAAAATGTCACCTTGGGCCCCCTGCTTGAGTTGGCACTTTCAATCTAAAGAAATATGGGTCCCACACATAAATGCCAAGCAGGCTGGGGAGGGGCTCCCCTTGGTAGATTTTGCTAAAGGGTCCCTGATCTGGGGCCCTGGGCCCCCTTGAATCGGTCAGGGTATCCAAGCTCCCCTAACACCCCTGCATAAACTAACAACATCGCAACAGAAAATTAATACTTTGCATACAATGATCGCAATGTAAACAGAGGGACTGAAAGCCCATTTCTCCAATCCAGCCCCTGGCTGCATGGGTTCCATATTTACCCCTGTAATGAACAGGCCTCTTCAGAAGGCTGTGACTACAGATATTGTTCTTAAAATAATTTTTGGTTATGAGAAGTATGGAAGGTGGCTCCTAACAAACTTTTGTCCTATGCAGGAGGGTTCTGAACCTATCCGAGAAACAATGGACACAAGGCAGGGAATAACCCAAGATGGGGCACCAACACCATTCACATACATAGGCAATTTTGGCAACTCCAGTTCACCTTAGCATGCTTTTGGACTGGTGGGAAACCAGATAACCCAGGGAAATTCCCACGACAATATGTGGAGAACAAGAGCCAGAGTGTGATCCAGAGGTGTGAAGCAACGGTGCTAACCACTGCACCACCATGGCAACCTTTCCTTCGCATCTCGAATACAAAAACCCACAAAAAGCCAAAAAAAGGGTGATGTCTTTCAGATACTAGCAACAATACTATGAGTTTATAAGCTGAAAAACAAAACGGAAAAACGATTTTTCTGAGACAATTGTCTGTGACATAAAAAATAAAAGACGGGATGGTTTTTGAAATAAGCTTGATAAGTTTTGTCATTCACCTGCAGCTCTTCAAAGTAGCCAGGAGAGGGAACCAAAAACCAATCTACAGTGGTGAGAGCGAGAATTTACATTCCCCTTTACTCACACTAGGGGTCGCACTTTTAAGCCCAGAGACATTTCGATTATGCTGGTATCATTCCCAGTGAAGCCCTGCCTTGATTAGCTTTGCACAATTAAGGTCAAACCAAAGATATCTTGGGATTTCAAATCTTTATTCAGTCCTTTATAACAAAACTGTGTTATCTGACAATGCATGTGAAAAAAAAAATCAGTTGAGTTTGTCCTAAAAAATATTTCCCATGGGTTGAGCCTCACCGAAATAATAAAAAAACAGGTACAAAATGAGCTTCATTATTACTTAGGTGCCCTACGACAACCTGGCATCCCATTCAGAGTATACTGCAGCCTTGTGTGCCGTAAAGGCTCCATGCCCTGTCACTAACCAGACTGCTATTAGCAACCAGAAGACAGGTAGACGGTTTACTTAGGAGTTAAAAATGACATTTTAAAATGAATTAATATTTCAGTGTTCATAAAAGGGAGGAATGTATCTAGGTCTACATTAAACTAAGACTTTTATTAGCAACAGGGTTAACAAGAATTTAGACTTTACAAGCCTCAAATGGGGTCACAGAATGACACAAAGCAGGGCTCACTCCAGGTCCCAGAGAGCAGAATGACACACGGGTTGCCTCTGGCTCTCCAAACCCCTTACCAACCTCAGAAGGAAGGATCAAACCAGCCCAAGTGAACAGAATTCAATCAGGATCTTCAGTGAATGATCACCAGCTTATAGGTCATACAAGAAAACTGCAGCAGATGTCAGTGTCATGATTCCAGAAATGGGAGTCCTTACAGAGGAAAAAGTATTTCAGAACAAAGAACATTAAGCTGTAATGAATAAGCAAAAACATGTTTATTCATTTTTTATTATGAAATACTGCTAAATTTCCCCTAAAACTTCTTCCAGTGTACTGTAGTTTCAAATGGTGGACCACACTCTCAACCATTATCCTTGGAGGACCTAAGCCAAACATCAGCCATAAACTTTACTGTGGAATCGATCTGGACAGCGCTGCACATCATTCTGCTTAATTCAATAAATGTCTGATCATTTTCAGTGTTAAAAATATATATTTAAGTTAAGCTCTAAGAATCAAACCTATGTAAGGTTTGGATAAGGAATACAAAGTTTGGTCACTATTTAGAAGAAAGTGCTTCATCAATAAATGAGGGGGACAAGGCTGTCTTTAAAACTGCAGGTCATTAAAACAGACTTAAAATTAGATCTCCATAACACAAAAAAATAAGTTACAATTTGCTGTGAGCAGCAAGGTCCAATCTGAGGCAGGCTCTGTTGTAAGGCATCAGAAGTCCAGTCACCTTTAACGTCGTCTTAAGAAATTAGTCTAAAGGGGTTCTGTATGTGTGTTTTCACTGCAAATGAGTGATGAGTGCAAGCATGTGTAAAAAGTATCAATCTGTGTGTGGACAGCAGGATCATCTATGTAGGTCTGCTAAGCTGGATGGTCCAACAGGTCCTTGTACCAGATGACCTTCGTAGGATCTGGAAGGGTTGGAAGATAGTTAGAACTGCAGCACATTCTTTCATACTACATGAAAATATAAGCACCTACTGGGCCACACTGGTTACAGAAAAAGCCCAAAAAGATAAAGCTCAAATTTACCTTTGAGCTTTTAGAGCAGCAGGCAGCTGTTAATTTTTTTTAGGAAACAGCAGTAGCTTTCCCATCTTAGAGATGGTACCAAAGTGTAACATCTGTGATCCCTTGCTAAAGCCTCATGCAACCATTCACATTACTTCACTTTGGTGGGACCTGTAAGAGGACCTGGAGTCTACTGCAATATTCTTAATGGCATGAGAACCTCATGAGTACAGAGAAGCAGTTGAGAGAAATAAATCCTCATTCACAAGTCATTCTAACAAACTGCTCTGCATTGAAAGATCGGCAGAAAATTGGACATACGTCGTATATTAAGAGTTCAAGCACGTTTAAATAATAACCCAATGCAACTGTCCTGAATAAAAGTGTTCAGTTTGCTTTTTCTAAAGGATAGGAGACCTCACCTTCTTCATGTTGTCTGTAAATGGCACCCCACTCTGAAAGAAAAGAAATATTTAGTACGTAGGCATATTTAGTACCTAGTGCTCACACTATGGACTACTGCAAATCAGGGCAACATACTGAATCCTTTCACATGTTAAATCAGATTTTTATGGCAGTGCACCCTTACATCTGAGCAGTTATCACTTCTCTAAAAGGAAGAATTGGGGCAATGGAGCCTCATGGAAACTTTACAGCTTCAACACAAGAACCAAGTTCTTTTTCATTCCAGCAAGCACACATTCACAGGTTGTTGATGCGCAAAGTCAATGAATGTGCATGCATGTAATCATGTGGTATACAAAAGTAGACTAATGTGTACTTACAATGCCATCAACATAGTCAATACAGAAGGGGAGTACGGAGACATTTTAAACCATAACACATTTAGACAAGTACTACTGACAAGAATTGGAGCAAACGCGTGTACCTGACTGCAGTGAAAAGATCGTCCGCTCTCACCTTGAGTGTGGTAGCGTAGTGCTTCCACCAGATGACGGCAACCAAGCAACAGCTCTGGGGGGCTCTCAGCCTCCAGCCCACACTTTCCCACCGGCAGCGTGGACACGGTGGGAACAGACCCATCAGAGACAAGAGACGCGTTGCCAGCGGGGTCGGTCACACCACTACCAAATGAAGGAATGAGGGGGGAACCATGGGACGGACCATTCTGTGTGGTGGGTCCTGAGCTGTCTGCATTCTGGGGGGAGTCGCTGATGAAACTTAGCCCCCACTGGTTCTGTAGGAGCACCCCAATGCCGGGCAGGTCTTCTGCGACACTTCCCGCTCCGCCCTGCTTCACCTTTGACGCGTAGCTGACTGCTGGCTGCAATTTGGCAGGGCTGTCCTGCACGGGAAATGCTGGGGGAGGCTTAAGGAGCGACAAACTGTCCTCAACCCATCTCTCCCTCTGTCCCCTCTCTGTAGCCCGGCCCGCCCTTGGAGCCTCCTTCCGGAAGCTTCTGCTGTGAGGCTGGCCCCTGCGTTCTTTGTCCCTGTCAGACGTAGAGGTGTGGCCGTATGGGTACCTGTGTGTGTGGTTTTCAGACAGGGGAGGCAAATTCTGACATGTGTCCCTATTGACTCGCCCTCCTCCGCCGCCTCCACCACCACTGTTGCCTGAACCAGGCGAGAGACGTCTGTTTCGGATTTGGGACTCTGGGTTAGGTGGTGAGACCAGGCCAGCAGTATCGCACAGAGGATCTGATTCACAAACACTGACCTCCCATGTACCTGCAAAAATAGCAAAGGCACAATTCAATTTCACTACAGTTATATCAAAGTATTTTGACAAATGGCATCAAGAATAAAACTACCTTTAAAAATTCTAGCAGTTTAATACTTCCAACAGCCCCTGTGAATCATACTAAATGATTTTAAAAAATAAATAAAAAAACGGGAAACAATAAATTTCATAAGCTTTCAAGTAGTAAATCCACACATAAATATAAGTAAAAACTATTTTTAAAAAGCAGAAAGGAAACAGCATGCTTCTTACTTCCTTATACAACCACCACCTAAATGGAAAAAATATCTTCGGGGAATGCAAGATTGAGACATCAAGTCTGTCATTTAAAAGCACTACTGCCAATCAATGGGACTTACGGAGAACTCCGTGCGAATAGATCTGAGGATACAGAAGGTTAAAAAGACCCTTCAAAAACTTCGCAGCATAAAGCTGAAGGCTCAAACAAAACACCATGCGATCGGGCCGAACAAGCGCCACGTCAAAGTAGCCAGCAGCCCCGCCGGCCAGGTGACTGCGCGCAGCCGGGAGATTGCTCGACACGTGATGACGACACACTTTACGCAACCGACTAAATAAGCTTAACCAGTCACGTAACTAGTCCAACTTGGGAAAGCCTCAGTGCCGGTAGTTGCCTAGTTGAACCCAAACAAGCAAACAGGCAACCAACTCATGGATTTTGTCAATGATAAACTTTATACTTGGATACAGTAACGCAGCAAGGTCAGCTGACTTGCAGTTAGCTAGCTAGTTTCCTGGGTTTGGAAGCCGCTTTCAAAAAATATTAACAGTATTACCCACTGCTACCTACCCAAATATAACCATCAAAAGTAATTAAGAAACCGACTGATTAACTACTGCGTTATAAGTTGATTATATCTAGCTGCAGCCTGCCAGCGCTCAATCATTACGAGTTATGCCTCTCAGCCCCCCTCCCCTCCGCCGCCAGCCGACGGTCAGGATGGTTCTGGAAAAGAAGCACGGCCCAGGCCTGGGCTCATCTGACCACGACCGGCCTGCGACGGCTCGCCCATTGGCGAAACGTCAAGGCCGGCTGTTAACATCAGACGAAGTTAACCCGGTTTAAAAACGGGAACGAAAGAAAACTTGCTATCACGGGTTAAACCATGGGCTCCGTCGACCGTGTGGCTAATATGCTAACATGCGCCTCACGCGCAAGCGGCAGCGAGGCGAGCCATCCCGGCCGGACCGGTGACAAGTCTGGGAGATCGTCAGTACAACTCTATTGCTTGGTCTACCTGGATATACGAGTCTAATTCGGGCTCCCATAGATACGGCTACGCGCCCAGGTTTTCCCACAAAAAGTTTCTCCGGACTAAATCAGCCATTCATTCAAAACGTGGACCCCTAGCAAACGATACCCCCATGACGGCTCAGCGTAGCGCTCTTACCTGTCTTGATGTGCATCTTTATCTCCGCTCTTACCCCTACGGAATTGCGACTGTATTAATGGGTGACCGGCGGGAGGATACGCGGGCGACAACACTGCGTAAGCGAGGTGGAAGTGAGCGCTGGGAAATGCCGGATGTGAAGGCATTAAACTGGGGAGGGGAGGGCGGGCTTCCCGCCCACAGGCCAAACATCAATCAAACAACACAGCCAATCCGGAGCTGCGTCAGCACCATACTTGCGCTCGTGGCGGCATAGAGTCTTTCAGTCAAACATGTACAATATACAAATGAAAAACGGGCACCAGTACTGACCACTAGCAAAAATGTAAGGGTTATGTCTGTTGTTTCGATTTTTAAGCAGATTATAAACTTTTGTTACAAATATAGTTTACTACTGTAACTTTTGGTGGGCAGTACAGTACACCTCCATGCTGTACACATCTGCTGTATGTGTGGTAAGTTTACACGTTCTTTAAAGCTATTTGGTGTCTCCTTATTGGCCATAGAGTATGACTGGATGGGTGTGCACATGTACCCTGCAATGGATTGGCACCCCATCCAGGGTATACCCCAGCCTTGTGCCCTGTGTTGCCTTAGATGGGCTCCAGGCCCCAGTGACAGTGATTAGGTTAATTCTTTAAGTCTTACTAAATCTCACCTTTTCTACCACTTCTAGTCACACAGTATCCTTCAGCTTCAACTCCTGGACTTTGTTTCCATCTGTGTGCATAGTGCTGGTCTCCATCTCTCTGGCCTTTTCTTTCCCCTCTGCTTACAACCCTGGAAATTTTGTTTCCTCCTCTTTCGCTCTTGTTTTTCCTCCTTCTCCATTCTCTCCAGCCTGTCCTTCCTGCATCTGTATATTGTTTAACACCAGCATACTCAATCTGACATTCCTGTGCCTTTTTCTTCACAAATCGCTGTTTATTAACAAGGTAATTATGTTCTGTATGTCTGGGGACACCATGTCCAGATGTTGTATCTGGAACCTCACTACAGCTGCACCAGTCCACCATCCTGTCCCTCCTCTCCACTGCTTTTAAATGAACCCCATCCCTTCCTTTTGGGTTCATGTCTGGTGGACCACCTCGGCTCTCTGGTCCATTTCCCGTATTTTCTGGGACTCCTTTCCTTGAAGAACTCCCCTCTTCTTTCTTTCCCTCCACTGCCCTGCCCTTTGCTTTACTATCCATACTATCGCTGAGATAGTCTTGACTGCCTGTTTCCTTTGACCTTTGAGTTCCATCAAAGCTTTGACTGGATTTAACCTGTTCTATAGCTCTCACTTGTGCCTCTCTCACCATCACCTCCATCGTGTCCTTTGTAGATCTGTGGCACTCTGACTGTGATTTTTGTTCCCTAGTGGTATCTGGGTGCCCTGTACAAGGACCTATTGTCATCTTTTCACCCTCTCTCCCTTCTACAATATAAAAGGACCCTCCCAAGGTGATGCCATACTCCACTTTCTTCAGCCAATTCTCTGATTTTTTTTGGTTTTTTGGTTCCCCTGTTTGTTTCTCCCGTGCCATGTTTGCTTTCTGGTCAGCTTTTACAGCAGTGTCTTTTTTCAGCTCTGCTTTTCCAGTTGTATTTTCTGTCTGTTTATTTTTCTCAATCTCTGTGATCCCTAAAGGTGAGTCAAAACAAACCATCTTTGAATAAGATATTACACAAAAAATACAAGCATGTTTAAATATAATTTTTTAAAGAATATCTTTAAAGAAGATCTATCACATATTCAAAACTGTAGAGATACTCCTACCGTAATTTACTATGCTGACCTTTAATTTTAGTCCCTACCACTCCAGTGGTTTTTGTCGTAATGACTTTTATGTCTCTCCTCTGCATTATTTTTTTATGCATGCTTTCCTTCCCAGGCTCATCCTTGCTTTTACCCAGCCATTTCTGTCCCTTATGTTCCTCATTTTCCTCCGGTTCCTCCTCTTCTCCCTTCTCCTTATTTCTGAGGTTCCACTTGTGATTTCCAGGTTCTCGGGCTCCTTTCCCTTCACTTTCACCTGCTTCCCCACTTTGCCCTTGTTCCATGGTGAGCTGGGTGGAGCACATACTCTGCCTACGCAGGCACCACTGACAGTGAATGAAGCGGCTCCTTTCCATAATAAGCTCTCGATGCTCTAAGGTGCTCTTCTTGGTTCTCGAGAGGCCCCTCCATCTGTTGTTGGCCAGCTTGTTCTGAAAGAAGCCAGAAAAGCGGGACTTGGTCTGGATGACTTCTGTCCTGCCTTTATCTGACAACCATTTCTGATCAAGACTCCTGTCTGTCTCTTCCCAGCCATCATCCCTCTCCCTGTCTACTTCTCCATTCTCATCTCTCATAGCTTGAATATCATCAGAACTCCAGGATTTTCTCTGTTGCCTTCTCTCCTCTATACTTTGCTTTTCTCTGCTCCCTTGTTTCATGGGGTTCTTCTGCTTAAGCCCCTCACAGAATTGAACCACCCCCTCTGTTGCCTCCTCCCTTAGCTCTTTCAGGCTCTCCCTAAGCACTTTCCAAGCCAGCAGAGTTCCCTGTGCCATTATCTTCTCAGTTGCCTCTAGTTCCTCATCTTGATTGCATTCCTCTGTTGCTTCATTTAGTGCATCTGCCTTTATTTCTCTTCTCATTTCCCCTTCATTGCTCCCTAGATGTTTAAAAAAGACAGACACATAATGTTAAGCCATTGTTCATGTTGTACCTTGAATTTAAATAAATCCATCCATTTTTCATAACTATCCAGCACAGGGTCACAGCAAGCCTGGAGCCTGTATAAGAAAGCACTGGGCAAGAGGGAGAGGACACCATGGATGGGATGCTAATCAATTCAAACACAGATAACAAATTCTTAACTGACTATTTTTTATTTTTAATTGTTTAGCTACATTTCTTCAAAGTAACTCCTGTATATTACAATATATTTTTTAAATCTGGTATGCTATTTGATATTGTGCTGAAGTGTTTCAGGACTTGAGACATTACCAGTTTGCAGTCTCTGGCCACTATGCCACCTGCTGGTGTAGTGCATATACAGGTTAAAAAGAATCAAAATTACAATTTAAACAATTTCATCTGATTCAGTTTGTGAGTAAAAAGATTTTTTTTACATGCTCAATACTCCACTGTATCTCTGATAAACAGAAAGTGACTAATAATTGCCAATTTGTACTGCTGACTATTGCAAAAACTACCTGCTCTGACAGACTCCTGCTCTTCTGGCTGTAATTTAGTCTTCAGATCGTTGGTCTCCTTGATTTTGGAAGATTCCAGCACAATTTGGTCCATGTAGCCTTTTATACAGCTTGGTTGGTCATCGGACTCCACTGCAGAGACTAAAAGTAATGTATCTTTAACAGAATTTTCTCCTGTAATACTAAAAACGTAATGGCCAGTCTCAGGAGTGGTATGGTCACAGTGATGACTCAGATCTTTCATAGGCTTTATGACTTTGTCATATGAAACATTTACAGGTGACTGTAAAACAGTTTGACTACCTGATTCTAAGGGAATCAGAAGAATCTGAGTGTCCTCACTCACAAAATCATTTTCATTAGTTTCCTGCACAGGTCGGATGGATTTCTCCTCAGTATTTAATAATATACTGGTCATGTTAATCATACTTTACTCACTCTGATCCTCTGTGTTAAGAAATCCATACATGGAATCATTGGAGGGTTTGACTTTCGTATTTAGTGATGCATGAGTAAATTCCGTCATAGGGTGATCAACATGGTCATGGTCAGATTTGTCAGTTAACTTTCTCATGGGACAGTTTGTAACCCTGATATTAAGGCAAAGTTTAATGGATATTATGATAGGCAGATACACATGGCCCTGTTTTGTCACCAGTGCAGCAGAGGACCTCAACACTGACTGATCCTTAACACCTTCTTTGTTAATTATATAGGGAGAATGCAATTTAGGCTGGTTATTAAAACCTTGTCTACTTAGAAAGTCCTCAGTAGGCTTTATCCCAGGCTCATCCATGCAGGCTTCACAATTTCCAGATTCATCGGTGGACTCTGGGGCAGTTTGTTCAGTAAGAATCTCAGAAGCAGGGTAACATTTAGTATTTATCAGTGGAAAATGACTAATGGTAATCTTTTCAGTCGAATGTAACATACACTGGTCAGAATGGCCTTCCGAGTTAAATGAGAGTTTTGTAATTGCCACTGCATCCTGATATTTACCAGATTTCATCACAGCTTGTTTGTCCACAGAACACATGTCTTCATGGCCCTTCTGGGGATCTTCCCGATGCTTCACCAGCACAACATGGGCTGTTTGTTTGCCTGCTGGCATCTCCAGTTCACAAAGAACTTTCTCATTCTTTTCAACATATTTGTATTGTCTTTTTTGGTCTACATCTCCATTACCAAAAGCACTGCTTTTGACTTTGCACTGATCGTCTTCTGCTTGCATATCCATTCTACTGGCACGGGGTTGGTGTCTGACTTTTTGCGCCGCAGCTCCTCCTCCCACTATCATATGCAGATAGACTCGATGAGTCCCCTGATATATTAGGCTTGTTCAATTATTTCACCAGTCTGTCAACTGAAAAAAAGTAACAATAAGTAAAATTCACTTTTAATGATGCCTGATTTTTTTTTTTCTCAATCAGTGGGTACATAGTAAAACATTAAAACAAATGAAATTACTACAGAACTACCAGAATATTAAATTACCCATTTAAAACATCTTCATTAACAATAGTGATATTAAGAAGAGTAGAAATAACCCAATGTGAATGTGATAAAATAAGTGTTAAATTTCAATTTTAACACATTAAAAGTATTTTACCCTGCATTAACATTGAGTCGCTCGTATCGGACTCAGCCCTTATGGCAAATCTTCACTGATATCAGTACACAAAGGACACAGCAGCAAATGATTTGCTAGGTCAAAACCAAAGGCATAGATTTGGATATGGATGGTAGGGACATGTCCCTGCCAATACTGTGGGAGTAGTGTGTACATGTGTTTAGGGGAGTGGAGGTTCTGGCTGATTTGGTCCCTACATTGTCAGAAAAAGGCTGCAGCCCTGGTACAGTTTTGGTCCCAAAGGTACAAACATCATTAACGTATCCCAAATGTTACAAAAATGTTACTCAGAGTACAATTGGAAGTGTACAAATGGAAGACCCTTGAGGGCACAGCACCAGTGACAAGTAATTGTACCTTCAAAGGTATATTTTGGTACATTTTTTCTGACAAGGTATTAAAAATATTGAAACCAAACCGACGCCCTTGGGCAAAATATAAATGTCTATCGCTGATTTGACCAGTGTCACCAAATTTGGACAGCTGGCTGGCGTGGTATTTTCAATTAGAGACAAGTCCGTACACTAATTTAGATATGTGTAACAGTATTCTTAACTTGCAAATAGTCTGTAGAGTTTGCAAACTACCCCAGCTAATTTTAGTTTTATAATAGAATAATATAAATTTGCCGTAAGATTTCTCCTGGGTTGGGAGCGTGAGTCTGAAAGCGTGATTGTGACGCCAAATGCCTGAGAGCTGGCAATCTTGGATTTTACTGTTCAACGCTAAGGCCACTTAAAATTAATAAATTGTTTTACATGGCCGCCCGCCTCAATTTTTTGGTGCCGCCTCGATTTTTTTTATATTTTATATTCTTCAAAAAATCCGTTTTTTTCACCTCAAAAACTCTCAGAGATTGTCAATACGCAGAGATCGTCAATACGCACGTGCGCCATCGTCAATACGCACGTACGTCGTTTGAAATCATCTTGTGTTTCTCTCAAACTGGCTGCCGTAAGTGAAAAATCTTGAATGTCAGCCTCGGATTTTTTCACTTTTTATTGTTTGCACCGTTGAGAGTTTAAAATGTTGAGACACTGACAGAATAAAGTTTAATTTTGTAGTTTTAGTATATCTCTGTTGCCGTTCGTCTTTTCGCTAAAAATATAAAATATAAAATCCCCTACTCACCAATATTTTAGAAGTTTGAGTCATGTAAAACAATTTATTAATTTTAAGTGGCCTAAACATACCGTAAACTATAATCCGTCAGTTAGTAAACCTACACGATATTATTTTCCAGTAGTGATAGTCGCTGTAAAGTTAAGTTTGGTTAACTAAGATTGTAAGGTCCACAATATATAAAGAAACGTACCTATGTAGCTGCAATCGCTTTCAACCTTGTCGATGTTTTAGTTATTCATCGTAGTTCATTACGTATTAGACAAATAATTAGAAAACATTAATAATAAACATAATGATTCCACCGCACCACTCTGCTGTATGTATCTGTTAGTCGTATCAATCAGTATTTACATTTAAAATCAATTTTAACGATTTAAAAGACGTCCGTTGCGGTTTAGTCCAAACGTAAATACTTCTTTTCTATAAGGACGTATGAATAGTTGTACCCCAAAGCAGACCCGGTTTTGCAAGTGTGGCAGAAGGTGCATAACACCCTCAAACATATCAGTTCAACATTGATGTAGGCTACAGTGCATATTAAAATCATGTTTTGTCATTACGTATTAGTTTTTGTGCATAATGCTTTGGATTAACTCATCTGAATTAGGGACAGTAGTTCCCTAGAATGCGCGCATATATATATATATATATATATATATATATATATATATATATATATATATATATATATATATATATATATATATACACACTTTTTTTTCAGTGAATGCATTCACTTTGTGTCCTGATAACATAACATGGCTAAATTAATCTCACTGAATGTTCTCATGTCTAATTAAACCAACTGAATGGTAAGAGGTCATAAATGTTTTTCATTAGTATAAAATCAACATAAAAAACAACATAAAATATTAAGAGAGAACAAGCAATAAACATGTATTTCCTACTAAAGCTATATCTGTTTTCACATATGGTATTATATATTTATATATTATATATGGTTTTATATTTTTCTATAGGCTTTTTCCTTGAGTGCCTTACATGTGAAGTGTGTTTTTTGGTATGAAGGTGGCCATAATCATACAAGATAAAACACTGACTTGTAGTGTACATATAAAAAGCATCAGGCATTGTCATATATAATTCAAATAAGAAAAATGCTTGCTAACCTTATATGAACCATGCTGTTTTTTTCATATGGGTAGTGCCCCATATGAACACTCTGCTGCATTATGATGGTGTCCTGTGTGTATTTAATGTGATTGATAGTCCCAGAGAAATAAGCCGATTAAACTAAATTATTTGAATGTACACGCAAAGTATCTCATTTGAACATTATGCTTGGAGTAAGCACTCCAATAGGTAATGGATATCACAGGCATGTAATCCTAAAATAAAATTATAAAACATATAGCAGTGGCATTGTTATTGATTAAGCCATTCCATAAAGAATCTAAAATACTTCCACAGCTCCACGGTCATTGAATCTGTAAATGGTTCCAAATGGATATTATATTATATTATACCTTAACATAGAACCATAACATAACATTAGATGTTATTTATTATGGATAATATATACAATGAAACTGGAGCAGGCAAGCTAGTTCTGCCAGGTATAATGCCGAAGCAGACCACTACGATTCCTTCCCCTGCAGTTTGCCCACCAGGCACACACAGATGTGGAAGGTGTTGTGATCCACATGCTCCACAGAGGCTACTCCCACCTAGACAAAGTCAGGATCATCTACTTTGGCTTCTTAATGCAGTCCAGCCTCTGAACAGTGCAGCTTGATGCTCCTACAGTCTCCTGGGGATGGTGGTGAGCAACACTGGGCCACCTCAAGGAACTGGTTTCCCTTCCTGTTTACCCTCTATGTGTTGGACTTCCAGTACAACACTAGCTCTTGCCATCTACTGAAGTTCTCCTCCATTGTAGGATTAGCAACAGACATGAATAAGAGTACAGAGGACTTTTGTAAAGGACTTTGTCTTGTGGTGCAGGAAAAACAACCTGCAGTTCAACATCAGCAAAGCAAAGGAGTTGGTGACAGGGAGGTGGTGCAGTACTACAAATACCTGGCGTTGACCTGAACAGCAGACTGGACTGGGCAGATAACACAGTGGTGCTGTGCAAGAAGGGCCAGAGCAGACTCTACTATCTGAGGAGGCCTTGGTCATTTGGTGTGTTTAGCAAACTGCTGAGTACGTTTTATCACTCCGTAGTGACCAGTGTGCTTTTCTATGCTGTGGCAGTGGCATCAGTTTAGGTGATGCAAAACGCCTGAACAAACTCATAAAGAAGGTTAGCTCCATCACAGGCTCTGGACCCACTGGAGGCAGTAGCAGAGAAGAGGATGTTTGTAAAATTGGATAACATGATGAACAGTTCTGCCCATCCGCTCCAGGGGGCACTATTTGGGAACATTTAGCCACTGGCTCATTGCACCACACTGCACTAAGAAGCGCTACTGCAGATCCTTCCAAACTTCTACCACCAGACACTATGACACCTTCTCCTAAAAACTGATTTATACTTCTGCGTAGAATCTATGTCATCATTTTGGCATTGCCACATACCCTATGCTGTAGCCTGACGTGCAGTTCCACAGAAATGTAACTACAGGTGTCAGGATATGGCATAGGCTATGCATGTGGCAACCTATGGAGTAGATTCTACGTAAAAGCATAAATCATTATAAACATGCCACTTCCCACCCCCAGCTATAACAAGTCAAGAAAGCATCACATATTTGCCATAGTCCAGTGCTATATATTTTATTGTACCTTCTACTGATGTATCAATTGTTTCCTTAATATTCTGTCTTTCAAGATATTCTATTTGTGTGCTGTGTACTTCTTAATTTGTTTGAACTATGTTTACTTATTTGCACTGTTTACTGTCTTTGCACTGTTTATTTTGCATTATCTAATTAATAACAGAGAAGTTACATGTAGTTTCTGAAATTCAGGAAAGCATTATAAATGAATCTTATAGTGCTGTAAATCGCTGCTACATTTGCTTATTTGTATTTTTCAATATATGTATAGCGCACATGACAACACCGAATAGGACTGCACATATGAACCGGACAGCCGACCAGCGCGCTTTCCGGGTAGTACTGTAGTGGGTAAGTCCTCACGTCTCAGCGAACGCGGTCACGTGGCGGCATGGCGGCCGACGTCGTCGCGCATCCTCGTCGCGTCCCTGCGCGCCCCCGCGACTAGCGGCTTGTTTCTGCCGTTTAGTTTCTATTTTGGTCGGTTTAGGCTGTGGTACGGTAGGTCCGTTTTTTCGCGGTGTTCGACCCGTTTTGTCCATGTTTGGTGAGTAAACCCAGAGTGATGGAAGCGGGAAGTGTCCCGGAGAAAGACGGCGCAGGTGTGTATTGCTTTCCGTAGCGTGGTGCACCTTTGCAGCCGGGGCAGGCTAGCAAAGCCGTACACGGGAGTGGATAGCGCTGGGTTTGCATGTGCCCTAAACAACTACAGCATTTCTTGTTAATTCTAAGTCATAAACATTTTAATCCAAAAAGTTAAGTAAGACGGTCAATAGCGAAATCTGATAAGCAACGACTGAGGTAGTGTTATGTGCACTGTTTTTGGGTGGTTAGCCGGCTGGCTAACTGTCAAACAGTCGCGGATGAGATACAGTAAAGAACAGCCATGCAGTGGTTAGTGGTGACAGATTAAATTTAGGGTTCTGTTTTGCCGTCTGACAGGCTTTATTTAGGATGGCATGTTTTAGATTAGGTTTAGATTATATCATAACTAACCGACTGTCAAATCCAAATTCGACCTAGTGGAACATAAATTTGCGTATTGATTGCTGCAGTTAACTGTTGTGCAATGTAGGTACTTGTAAAAGTTATTAGTGCAAAATTATTTAGCCACGGTATGGGATAAAAAAAGGTACCGCTAATCACACGGTTTGCAGAATAACACAGAATATGATTTAAAATGTGTAAGGTCATCAAAGGTTAAATCAGTGTCTCGAAGAAGGATTTTTTCCCGGATTTTGCGGTTAAATAAAGTAAACAAATTGTGACTTCTTTGAGCAAACATACTATTCTATAATATAAAAATGACAAAAAGATTGCATCAGTATTCGCCCATCTGAATCAGTAGTTAGCGTACACACGTTTAGACACTGGATATCTGTCTCACGACCAGTGTATTCCATCTCATTCATAGCAGACTGCAATCCTCTTTTGGTTGCTATAGACAACTTTGTGTCCCCATTGGCTGGTTCTCTTGGCATATATACTCAGTGGTGGCAAGCTGATAAGTTAGCTGGTGTGCCACACTCCACACAAACCTTTATGATTAGTTTGATTCCTCTCCAGAGATGTTCATAGTCCTTGTAATTTCTGGTATGCCCACATTTGAATTGTGTTTTTCGGGAACATATCTTGAATATATTTTCAGTTATCTCGAGTTCATGATAGTGCATTTTAAAACGAAAGCATTAACTGACTGTGGGACCTTCCCAGACAAGGTGTTATTAACCTGCATTGTGGCACCTTAATTACATACTGGAGATCTCAATTTAAACATTTAAATGATGTGTCTTGAAGTGTGGTAGTTCATACATGCTTATTTCTACCGTACATGCTTATTTCTGTTTATTAATAATTTACATTTGACAATTTACTGAAATTTTAGATTATTGATTAGAGAGCAGATCCCAGTGAATTCCATTTTGTGTTGTAGCAATAATATTTTGGAAAAAGTCAAAAAGTGGTGAATACTTTTTAGAGCCACTGCACTTATATCTATGTCAGTCAAGGTGTATGATATAACAGCTATACAGTATAGAATGTCATAGTTTTATCACTGTATTCAGCTTATGATTTTTAGCCTTTTTTCTATTTCAGGTGCCTGTCTCTCTATCTCTGCTCTTCGACTCCTGGTTCCGCCCTTACGGCTGCTTTCTGCCGCCATGTGGCAAGTAGCTCAGCGAAGTGACATGATGCATTATGGGAAGCTGGAGGAGTTTGTCTCCTTGGTCACGGAGACTGTCCCAGAGCTGCTGAGCTACCGACAAAGAGCACAACTCATTCTTGGTTTGCGAGCAAAGGTGACTAAATATATGTAATGTAAATATGTTTTATCAAGAGTTATGGCAGATTCGCTCATCAATTAGCAAGACTAATGCTAACTGTGCCAGTGGAATGAGAACAAGGAGGAAGAGAAGAGCATTAAAGGTCTTGAGAAGAAGCTCTGTTTCCAGTTTGCCTCCAGCTCTGTCCCGTTGTTTTAGCTGATTCTGGAGCTGTTCCGTGGCCAGCACCCGCCAGACCTCCAGACCATCCAGCCCCACCTGGACAGAATCCGGCCCCCAACCACACTTTCTATGTGCACAGATGTAAGTACGTACTTGAATCTCAATTTTCCCGGTCAGTCCAATACACACATATAGAGGCTTCAGTCTGCTTTTTTATAAATTATTAAAATGATTATTTGCCTTATGTTTATATCTGTGCATGTTTTATACAGTGGGCCTGCGTTCATAATGGGGTACCGCAGGGTTCAATTTTAGGATCACTATTGTTCCTAATTTACATTACTGATATTGACACCAATACATACAGGTCGGTGGTGTAGCAGATACTGATCTAGCAGCAGAGAGGCTACAACGGGATCTGGATTTAATTAACGACTGGGCTGATACTTGGCAGATGAAATTTAACACAGATAAATGTAAGGTAATCCATGCAGGGAGCAGAAATATAAAGTACAGATATTTTATGGGTTCCACTGAAATAAAGGTAGCTGATTACGAGAAAGATCTCGGTGTGTATGTTGATGCTTCCATGTCCCACTCTCGCCAGTGTGGGGAAGCAATAAAAAAGGCTAATAGAATGTTGGGTTATATCTCTAGGTGTGTGGAGTTTAAGTCAAGGAAGGTGATGTTACATTCATATAATTCCCTCGGAAGACCCCACCTAGAATATTGTGTGCAGGTTTGGTCACCATACCTTAAGAAGGACATTGCTGCCTTAGAAAAGGTGCAACGGAGGGCTACAAGAATGATTCCTGGTCTTAGAGGAATGTCTTATGAGGAGAGGTTACCTGAGCTGAATCTGTTTAGCCCTGAGCACAGGAGACTGGCTATTTCAATATTAGTTTAAATACTAGAACTCGTGGCCATAAGTGGAAATTAGTGGGAGAACATTTTAAAACAAATTTGAGGAAGCACTTCTTTACACAGTGTGTAGTTAGAGTATGGAATAGTCTTCCTGCTAGTGTAGCGGAAGCTAAAACCATGGGTTCCTTTAAATCAGAGCTAGATAAGATTTTAACAACTCTGAGCTATTAGTCAAGTTCTCCCCAAACGAGCTTGATGGGCCGAATGACCCCCTCTCATTTGTAAATTTCTTATGTTCTTATGCTCCTGGGCTCAATAAAATTCATATCTCTTCATCTTGTCTTGTCTTGTCTTGTCTTATGATGTTTAATTCCAAGTAGAAAACACTACATTCAAATGCTGGGGGATAGCTGAGAAGTCCCCAAGTCAGGGGACAGTAGCCTTTCCTGGATGATATGGTTGATATTGTTGGCATTATGGTATTCTAATTAATCATTTAAATACATGAATAAGGTATTGCTTTTTAGCCTAATTCCAATTTAAAATTCCAACAATTGACCTTTACACTGCCTTTTGAGGAAAAGTCCAGCTCATGCTGAATCTCTGAGCGGAATTTAAATTCAGCTGGCACCGTGCCAGGCTCTGTGAGCTGTCTGGATACTAACCATAGCCCCAGTTAGGTTAGTTAGCAGTAGTCATGATGTTCCTTGTGTCGGGTGTGTTTTCAATCGGTCCTCATATGTCATTGTTTCTTAGTAGGATCTTCATTCACATTGTTTGCCTGGTCTGACATATTTGCTGTAGGAGAGTAATGGTGGATGAAAGTTACTTAGGAGGAGTTTCTAGAGTTAAGCTTTATTTCCTCAAGTAAATTGGAACCCAAGAGACAGATTTTTGTATTAATTGTACTCAAGAAATGGCTTGTGTTTAAACAGGTGATGAGAATTTAAAAACCATAGATTTTGCACAAGTACCAGAAGGAAAAACATTGTTTGTTTTGAATGTTGAAAGCACGGCTCAATGGGTAGTGAGGACACCTCAAGATCATCTTCTGGATCACTGGTTCAAATGTCTGCATGTCAGAGAGAGAGAGCCCTGCACTGGTTTTGCATCCAAATCTAGTGATCTAGAGATTCACAATATATGTTATATACATGTGAATACATGTCACTATCAGCTGTCACTATCATAACCCGTAATAAGAAACAGTAATATATTTGTTATTGCTCACTGCCAAAATTTCTACAATGGTGTACTACTATTACTCGAGCAATTTGCGGTTGAGAGCCTTGCTCTGGGGCTCAATAGTGAAATCACGCAGCTGACTCGGATCCTTTATGGTCTTATAAAGCCTTAAAGTCAGATTTTCGTACTGGACCTGACATTAGTTATGGCACTGATCTGTCCTCTACTAAAAAAGGTAGAATTATGCTAGTCCATAAAAATGAGGGCCATGTGACCTGCCTGAAAGAGGGAGGTAGCTGAAATGCAGCTCTGCTTCCTGGTTAGTCACATGTGACTGTATGACCCGCGTGGTCTTTTCTCTGTTTCTCAGAGCGCTCATGCAGAGGTGCAGGAGTCCGGAGCCAGTTTCTGGGAGCTGGTTCAGACACTTCTGAAAGACCCTGCAGAGAGGGAGCGTTTCTTCCAGGTCGGGAAGCCGCACCGTCATGTGCTCACAGCTGAGTTGTGCATTTTTTCAATCTGTAAAAGGTGTTGCCAGTATTTATTCAAAGAGAAATCAAAAGAAACCACCTGTATGGTTCACCTTAAAATGAATGGGCTGTTTATAGTGTATGTTCAGGATAGTAAATGGGTCTGCCTTGCTTTGTCTCTATTAGAAATGGATTTGTTACCATGCATAAATGAGGCCAGTATTGTGAATACAGTAAAGCAGTTTTTAAATAAAAATGATGTAAGAGAACTAAAAATCAACATTAACAATAACAAACACCTTTCTTACTATATATTCACTTTCCACTATTATATTCACACACATTCCTTTCTCTCTGTCTCTCTGCATCAGGAGGTGTTCCCAGTGGAGTATGGACCCAAGTATGACATGGCCCTGCAAATCCTGGTGTGGGAGCTCCTCTCCAGGCTGGAGCAGCTCCTCCCAGTACCAGATCTTGAACAGGTACAAGTGCAGTATCCAAGATTCTCAGGGTATATGAACATATGCAACAATAAAGCTGAGTACTATCAAAAGAATTACTCAGTTTATTATTTTTTTCCATGTTGCATTAATTCAGCATATTTGTGCTGTTCGCTTAAATTAACATTTAAATTCAGACCAATGGCTATTGGTCACATTATGTAACCCGTAAAAGTAAATATTGCAGCTCTGTGCTTAATATTCTTCCATAACAATATTGTACTAAAAACTGCAATCGAGAAGAGGAAATTATACAAATAATACTGTGTAAAATATCCTTCTACAAGGCTCTTGCTGTTTGTATGTGAACACAGGCATAAAATGTCAGTCTCTGGTCCTGATGGTTCCTTGTATTAGGGCTAATGTCTTCATTTTTTGTCATGGGAAAGACATGGTAATTGTAAAACCCACCATTCAGTGCTCTTGTAAGCCTCAAACATGGATAAACATGATTCCACCCTATTCTGTCAGACTGTTTCCTGGCTCAGCACTGCCCCCTCAGTCTTGGAGGAATGTGTGCAATCCATATCTCAGCCACAGCAGCTGAAGACCATGCTCCAGCACTACAAATGTTATGGACACTTGGAGACAAATGGTAGGATTACCAAATGTACAGTATAACGAGCAAGCCCTTGTTTTCTTTAGCTACAATCACTATAGTGCAGAAAAAACTTTAGTGTTTACCGGTAGATATTTTATTTGATATTTATACAGCTGCAACACTTCCTATATATGTTGCAGTTTGGTTGTAGTTTGTTCTTGAATGCTTCTGTTATCTGGACAGTGGCCTATTTTCTTTATGGTACCAATTGGAATGTGTCATAATTCTGTTTGCCAATTATTAACCATTTTACCAGTTTTTAGAAACTTACTGTAAAAATCCAAAGTCCATCTGTTCCATGGTTATAATATACTGACATTGATTATGTATTCTGCAGATTAGCTGAGTTCTGTTATGTGAACACTTATTGAAAAGCATATAAAATCTTCATATTTTCATGGAATCTAAATTCTGCTCCAGCATACTGTGGGTATTAACTGTAGTCTTACCAAGATTTATTATCTAGATAAATATGAAAATATAAATGTAAAAGTGTTATAACAGCAGTTAGAAATGCAACAACACTGCAAATAGTGATTGTGATGGCCTGAGATGGCCACAACAACATGTTGCAGTTACCTGGGGTGAAACGGGAAGTGGTGCATGCATTTTATTGGTCCGACGGACAAACTGCCTGTATGTTCATGGTTCCCTTTTAATCCCCATTGGCAGTACCAACAGGTGCCCACAGTAGGGGGATGAGGAGCTGGGTTGTGGCATAGTTGTTTGTTATTTCTTTGTTAACATTTTTTGATTTAGGTTTTTCTTTATAAAATTATTTGTATAATTGTATGGGCCCAATATTTTATGTGGTTTATTTAGTTAGTGGCATGTAGGTATAAATGTT